GCCTTGAACTCACAGAGATCCAGAGGGGTTTCTATCTCTGGAATGCTAGGATTAAAGGTGTGAGTGCCACCATTTTCTAGCCTTTGTATCTAGTGGCTGTCTGTTCTCTGACCCCAGATAAATTTATTAGAATACACAATAAATATTTTGGGGAACACAATACCACCACACATGCGTGCAGTGCCCCACAGGGGCCAGAAGAGGGCGTCGGATCCTCTGGAACGGCAGATAGAGGTGGTTGCTGGTAGCTCTTAACCGCTGAGCCGTCTCTCCAGCCCTGTGTTGGAAACTTTCAAACACTTCTCTGTTAGTTACTTATAAAATGTTAATTCTGGCCTTGGTGCTAGACTTGGAACACCCACCTGAACAGAGCCCTCTGATCTCCTTGTGTCTGGGTATCTGTTACTCCACCCTCTCACTTTGGAGACCTGGCAGCGTGTCTTTGTCCTTTCAGATGGTCTGCACGAAGATGAAGCTGGTTTACGCTTTCATTCTGGTGGTGGGCGCGCTCTGCTTGTACTTCAGCATGGAGCCTTTCAAAGAACTGCCATTTGTTCTCAAGAAAGATCAGGGCAAGTTCCTGCGGCTTCCGGACATAGACTGCAAGCAGAAGCCCCCTTTCCTCGTGCTGCTGGTGACTTCCTCCCACAGCCAGCTGGCGGCTCGCATGGCCATCCGCAAGACGTGGGGTAGAGACACAGAGGTGCGGGGGCAGCACGTGAGGACCTTCTTCCTCCTGGGGGCCTCAGACAGCACCGAGGAGATGGATGCCACGGCCCAGGAGAGCGAGCAGCACCGTGACATCATCCAGAAGGATTTCAAGGACGTCTATTTCAACTTGACCCTGAAGACCATGATGGGCATGGAGTGGGTCCACCACTTTTGCCCGCAGGCCACCTTTGTGATGAAAACCGATTCAGACATGTTTGTGAACGTTGGCTATCTGACCGAACTGCTGCTGAAGAAGAACAAAACGTCCCGGTTCTTCACGGGCTACATAAAGCCCAACGACCTTCCCATCAGGCAGAGGTTCAACAAGTGGTTTGTGAGTAAGTTTGAGTACCCCTGGGACAGGTACCCACCTTTTTGCTCTGGTACCGGCTACGTCTTTTCCAGCGACGTGGCGAGCCAAGTATACAATGTCTCAGAGAGCGTCCCGTTCCTCAAGCTGGAGGATGTCTTTGTGGGGATCTGCCTGGCCAAGCTGAAGATCCGGCCGGAGGAACTCCACACCAAACAGACCTTCTTCCCCGGTGGCTTACGCTTCTCCGTGTGCCGCTTTCAGAAAATTGTGGCCTGCCACTTTATGAAGCCCCAGGACCTGCTCATTTACTGGCAGGCCCTGGAGAGCTCTCAGGAACAGGATTGCCCTGCTGTCTGAGGGGAGCCTGCGGCCCCTGGGACAAACTTCTGATAATGATAACCTTTGGTGATGCTTTGGGAAGATCTGGGATGGCCTTGCTGGGAACTGTCCAGGGTAGAGAGAGAAGGCTGAGCAAGACAAAGCACTGATCTCAACGCCCTGCATACGCAAGAATGGAACACACCCAGAGTAGCGGCTTGTTCCCACTTGGCACCCAGAGCAATAACAGATCTCATCTTTCAGGCCTTCGCACTACGTTCTCAATGTTTGAGACACGCCTTCATCTGCTCATGTCAGGGCTCAGTATACTTATGAAGCCATGGATGTGATCATTCCCATTTGACAGGTTAGGAACCAGCAGCCAGGGTCACTCCCTTGTCCAAAGACTCACAGCCTGCGGACTCAGCAGGAATGAGAATCAAGTGCTATCAGAACTCAGTTGGTGTCCCCCAACTGAGTGTCCCATTCTTTGGGAGAGGGTGGTGGTGGGAGGAGTTTAGGGTGGGTGTCTTAAAGCTAACTAGCATCCTTCTGTCCCTTTCCTGAGTCCCCTGCCCCTCACTTCCCAATCCTTATACTTTTTAAATGCTAAGTCTGGGATGAACCAGCTTTCTCAGGCCTCTCCCCTCATTTGAATGATGTAGCTAGGCACTGAGTCTGTTAGCTGCTTGGTACCTAGTGCATCTTCAATATGGTCCTAGGAGACATGCATGCCTGCAGACACTAGTTCACCTCCATGCTGGAAGGAAACTGGGTTATATGACCATATGAATCAGCCTGAGAAGCCATTGCTGAGTCTTGCTGTATAGGCTGACCACACTGCTGAAACCCCAGTGAGGGTGACATCTCCCCTGAACCTTCTGGGGCACCTGGTCTCTGTTGTGGATGTACTGATGGATTGATGGTGAGCAGTGGCAGCCCTGGAGCACTTCAGTTCTCTAAGTTCAAGCTCAAGGGCAGCCAGGCACAGGCATGGTCTCTATGGGTGTCCAGGAACTTTGCTGGGACCTAGGCTGGTCCAAGCCCCTGGAATGCAGAGCATGGAGGTAGGGGCTCTCTCTGCATCTGTGATCCTTCCTGACCCCAGCTCTTCACACTGGGTTTATCACATGGTCACAGATCTGCTGAGTGTTGTGGTTTGGAATTTAACCCTGAAGGTTTCCAGAGCTGGGTAAAACCAGGGGCTCATGGCCATTCAGCCACTGTCTCCAGACACATAATCTTGCTCTGTACTGCGGGAATTATTGCTTCCCCCTGCTTTTTACTTTATTAGATCTTACTATGTGCTTGGAGCAAAGGCTTCATGTGACTGTGTAATTGTAAGCGTCACAATATGCTCTCATCTGAACTCAGGAAAACTTACTTAATGGTCAGAACACTGTTAGGTTGGAGGAGGCTGGAAGCTGCCTCCAGGGTCTCGTTTCCACACTTGTTCTTGTCCCTCCTCTGAATCTCTTCCATAACTCTTGAGAAAAATTCTTCTGTCTGCAGCATTCTTCAAAATCATACATCAGGTTCTGGACCCTTAGTTCAGAATATGTGAAAATCTGAGCCAGGTAGAGAGAAAGGGTAATTATTCCTGGATGTGTACTAGTGACTACATACACCACTAAAACCACACCCAACCTGATCTTCTTTTGACAGAAGGGGAAAGCCAGGGCTCCTAACAATATGGTGGCTTTGCTGTCTTGTGGATGGAAGAGCTGGCATCAGAACCCGGCACCAGCCTCTCTGCGTCAGACCTTCCCTTCATTTATTCATTTGTTGGCCATATTTGCTCATTGCATTCACATACATCATGAGCAAGGTCAAAGTTAGGGGTCTGCAGAGAGCAGACCCGAGTAAGCACTCAGTGCTGAGAAGACGGTCGGAAACAGGTTCTCGTGGTCACCTGTGCTCACGCTTGCTGTTGCATTGAAGATGGCAGGCATCCTTTGCAGGTAGCCATTCTTCATTCTTACAGCCAAATTGCTTGTCAGCAGAGGCAGCTGAGGTGACTCAGTGACTCACCCAGGGGCTGAGATGTGGGACCCATCAGCCTTCTCCACTGGCACATCACGAACATACCTTCCATGTGCTTACTTTTCTCAGAAGCTTGGGGCTGTTGCTACCCAAGGAGTCACCAGCATCTCCCCTTTCCCGCACACTGCCACCTCTGTCCTGGGTGTTGGCTTGAGTGTTGGTCTACTTCTTTCTGGTTCTGTCTGATTTCTGTGATTTGGCCCTGGGGCTATCCGTAGAATTCTCACAAACCTCCTGCTTAGACTAGCTTTCTCATGAGGCCGTGTGCGTTTCGCACACGCACAAATGACAGACCCAGGTGTCTACATGCAGGTGCCAGGCTAGTTTTATCACTTGGGATGTGACGTAGTGAGCGCCTCCGATCTTCTCTGTAGTGTGTTAGGTTGGCTTGTTCTCTTGCCTTTGCACAATCAGCTGCACACTTGTCACCAGGCAAGTGTGTGCCAAAGGCCAGGTGTGCTCTGGTGAGGACATGAGCTGAAGGAGTGACTCACGGTTACACACCCAGAGGGTTTCATGAACTCCAGCCTGCAGGCAGAAGTGAAACACACACACCGCCATGACCGAGCGAGAATCGCTTTTACATCACAATTGCACCCGCGGTAACACTCTAGTGCCCACCGCTGGCCTCAGGATGCTGGTTGGAAAGAACAAAGCCAGGAGGCTTCAGACATCCTCTGGTTTCTCCACAGAGTCTGCGGCCTCATGGCAGACTAAATAATTAACAATCAGAATGTAATATGGTGGCTGCTGGGCACTGTTTAAAAAATAGATGAGATGGTGTTTACATTTTCTCCATCCCTTCATGTGGAAGCATTTGCTCTCTCACACCACATTTTTAAAATTAAGAATTAATTTTCTGTATCCATCGCATTGGAACTGGCATCTTAGCCTTTTCTAGGCTGGGTCTCTTCTGGTAGATTGGGATGTTTACTCCTCTCTCGGTCTGGGACTTTGACTCAGGTGTGTTGGGGAGGAGACACGTGTAGTTATCCACAGGTCCTGAGGGGGCTTCCCAAAGGGGATGCCTGACACCAGCCAAGCGCTGCAGGCCGTGAGGGTGCTAGCCTGAAAGTGAACACCAGTGTCCCTTCTGGCCTGGGTAACATGGTTCAGTGGTAAGGTGCTTGCTGCCAAGTCTGGCAAATATAGTTCAGTCCTTGAGATGCACACAGTGAAAGGAGGGAATTGACTGTCACAAGCTCATGGTGGGCCTGCACACACGTGCATGCACAGACACAATAAATAAAATGTAAACAAAACTAGTTTTGTTTTTTTTTTTTTTTTTTGGCAAAGGCTCCTTCAAACACTGACCTCCAAGGCTCTTTGCTTATTATTATTTCTCAGTGGCTCTCCATGATGCAAACCCCTGTGTGTGAACACTGGCAGAGGTGTATTAGATTCCCAGTTACACCTCCAGGGTTTGCAAGGTGCTTTCATTTGGCTGATAATTCGATAGGAAAATGTGTTGGGGGCTTGCCTCAGGTGTTGCTGGCTCCCTGTCTTTTAACCTAATTCCCAGGATAAGACAGATCCTCAGAGATGGCCTTAGATTGTTCCTGGAGGTGAACAGGGAAACTGTCCAAGCTCAGAGTTGAGACGGGGCCTGAGATGAATGAGTTGGCATGAAGCATAAAAACAAGAGCAAAATGTTTTAAATCAATTAAAAGCAGCATTCTCTAACTACCAGGCATAGTCATTTTAAATACAAGTAGAAATATGGATTCTGTGGCCAAATGTCTGTGTGTGTGTGTGTGTGTGTGTGTGTGTGTGTGTGTGTGTGTGTGTGTGTGGTATTGCTTTGTGGTTTTGGTGCTGGGGATGGAGCCCATGGCTGCACACATGCTCTCTCCAAACCCTGTTGAGTTGTTTTGCACCATGCATTTTACTACCTCCATGCAGGGGGTCATGGGACCAGCTCCCGATGCCTGCAGCCAGTTGGAGTGCTGTGCTGGGTAGTTATGACTGTTAACTCGACACAGCCTGGAATCACCCTGGAAGAGAGTTTTAATGAGAAATATCTCTTTATTATCAATTGATGTAGGAGGACTGAGCTCATTGTGGGTGACCCTGTTCCCTAGGCAGGGAGGGTGTCCTAGTCAGTATGAGAGGAGAAGGCCAGCTGAGGGCTAGCGAGGATCAGTGTTTACCCTGTCTCTGTTGGACCACGGATGTGCCCCACTGCTCTAAGTTCCTGCCTGGCTTCCTGCAGGAAGACACTGCAGCCTGGGATTGTGAGCCAAATAATCCCTTTCTTCCCTACGTTGCTTTTTGTCAGGGTATTTGTCACACTCACAGAAACGAAGCTAACACTGATGCTCAGGGCCATACCTACTCAGGGTCTCGGACCCTTCTCACTCCACCATGCCCCTGGATGTCATCGCCAGTGCTAACCCTCTGTCCCAAACAGAGGGGAGCCCAGCAAGCTGTGAAGCCCCTCTCACAGAGTGGGAGAGCTGACTCATTTCACTCGGTCACATAAGACAAAAAAACACCCACCGTGACTGGAAGCAACCCATCCGAAACTGAGGACACTTTGTGATCAAGTTTGATTTCCTAAAGGATAAAAAAAATTAAATGTCTATGTTGTTGAATGGTGTTTGAAATTGTCATTTGCCTGTACATTGAGGAGGTTCTACAGGCTGGTACTGTATTTTGGGAGCGGGTATATGTATTTATGATTTGTCAATAATGATATTTATCTTTAATAAAAGTTGAATTATAAGCAGCATAATGTATGTGGGTGGATCTAACTTACAACTCCTCTGAAGTTAGCAATATCCATATGGTCTAAAATTGGGCTTTTTTTTTTTTCATTGATGTTTGTGTCTGGAAAGACTTTTTTTTTAAATTTAATTTGGCTTTGATTTTGTATGCTTAAGGAAAGTATTGCTGAAGAGCCTTGCTTACTTTTGAAATACAAGGAGACTTCTTGTTTCAATCATATTTTGGAAGCAAAGCCACAGAACTTGACAGTTTGAAAGGCTTCCAGGGGCAGTCAGCCTTGGGTGAGCAGTGTGGAGCTCCTGGTAATTATGAATCCAGACAGTAGGCAACCATTCTTTGGAATTCTTTTCTCTCTGGCATACTTTTCTATTGTTTAAGCTTAAGGAATTGACTTAAGCTTAATCCTATGAATTGACTGGCTGTGCCTTCGGTGTCTTTGGTAATCATTTGTTTTTGAGGTACAGTTCGGATCCTTGATCTCTCATGTATTATTTAAATGGAAATAAAGTGGATGAACCAGAAGTGTCTCCCTTTGACTCTGACATGACTGTCACAAATCTCATGCCACGGAGCCCTGGAAACCTTTGTACCCATGCTCTGTATTGATCACCTCCTCTGCCAGCCTCGGGGACCAAACAAAAGCTGGAAGCCAGCAGGGAGGGCCAGAGGGCTGGGCATGGAAGAGCAGGGATGCCTGGAGATGGGCAGCGTCCAATGGCACTAATTCTCCTCACCCACCAGCTACACCTTGCCTCTCCATGACACTGTGGAGCCTGTCCGTGGGCCCCTTGAAGGCTGGTTCCATCTGCAGCTCTGGTACCCGCTTCCTTCTGGAACAGTCCCTCAGCACACAGCATGCTCTCCCTGTTTACACAGACTGTCTTCCAGACTGCCCCCCTCCAGTTCTGCCTCTTTTCTCTTTTTCTTTTAGTGCAAAAACCCTTTCAAAGAATAGCCTTCCCCAGGGTGTCTTCACTTTGTTCCCCTCCTCCCAGTATTTCCTGACCATCCTGGTGGAGGGGCAGCACCCTCCCTCTGGTAACTGCTCCTACCACATGGGAGGGCAGAGTCCCGACCTGCTCCTCCCCCACCTCCCAAGGCTCTCATCCCTGCATTCCTCTGCTTTATGACAGACACAGTAGTCTGCACTGGATTATGAAGAAGCCAGAGGAGGTGCTAGGGACATGGATCGGTGAATACAGTGCTTGCCACATGAGCAAGAAGATCTGAGTCTGGATCCCAGAGCTATTGTAAAGCTGGGAACAGAAGTGTGTTATCCCAGCCTCCTGACTGTGAGATGGGAGATGGAAACTTGCAGGCAAAGTGGCCTGGTATACAAAGTGGCACATGCCTCCAACAAGGTGGAATGTGAGAAATGACAGTGGAGGTTGTCCTCGAGGACTTCCACAGGTGTACTGTGACACCTATGTGCTAGAATTCACACATGGAAACACACACACACACACACACACACACACACACACACACACACATACACACACACACACACACACACGGAAAACAACTGTGGTATAATGATTTCCTTTCCATTGGAGGACAAGCTAGATAGAGGAGCTTGTTTTCTTTCCACTGTGTGGGTTCTGGGAATCAAACTCAGGTTGTCAGCCTGGGTGACAAGTGCCTTTACTGGCTAAGCCATTTCACCAGCCCAGGTAACTTTCTGTAGCCATACCCAACCAACACTGGTTGGATGAAGAAGCAGCTGGTTATTGATCTGCGCTATCCTGTGGTGTAGAACTGTTTAAGGTACTAGAGAAAGGTGGTCCTACAATGTCTATTTTAGGTTTGTCAATGATTCCGGTCCTTATGACCAATGTCTATGGACCCGGGAAAGCGTCCTTTCCATCTGGCATGTGCAGGCAGGGAGGGTGAGCCAGGTCAGTCACAGCCAGCCCCTCATGGCAATGCTGTGTATTCTCTCCTTGTTTGGAGGCACTGTGGTTCTGCAGGCTTTGTGGGCACCGCCCTTTGTCAGTACAGATGGAGCTTGAACTCAGCAATTAGATCTCTTTCTGTGATGAGACCCAGCCCACCCTCAATTAGATAATATTTATATTAGTGCAGTGAACAGCAGAAATTCCGGTAATGTTCGCCTCAGGTGAGAACCGAGAACACCAGACAGGGAGGGCCTTGGACACAAGCACCCAGCTCCGTGTTCAGAGAGTGAAGTTGAGTTCCACTGACCTGTCGACCAGAGATGACACCAGAACCAAGCAAGGCTTTCTACTCCCTTCTTCCTGGTTTGGGATTTCAAATACTACATTAAACCATAGTGCTTGAGGTGAGATGCTAACCATTAGGACTTTTCTGTGATTTGCTGGTTCTGAACTGTGAAAGAGGAGACCCCATGCATGAGAAGCCCCGGACTCAGAGGCTCATAGAATGGAAAGGGTTTGTCAGGGTAGACAGAAGTTCAACCCCGTTGCCTTATACCTGGAATTCAGATGAGGGCTCAAGGCACAGATCTTAAAGGAGACCTGGCCGGTATAGATCAGTTTCCCACCAGCTTCTGGACCAGTGACTGCCGCATATCAACGCAATAAACCTGCTAGAGCTCCCTCCCTCCTGACCCCCTTGCCTTCTTTCCTTCTTCCTTCCTTCCCTCTTTCCACTCTGGCCTTGAACTCACCATCCCCTTGACTGGCCCTTCTGAGCACGAGGATTACAGATGTGTACTACACCTGGCAGAAATTTATTCTCTATTAAAGACAATGACAGCTAGGGAGGCTGACAGTACTGTGTAGCTGTGATGAGTGGGGATGGGACTGGCACCAACAGTATTCCTGAAGAACCAGAAAAGCTCTCCAGGGAACGTATAAGCAAATGGAAACCCAGTGAGCCCTACTCACACAGGAGCAGCAGGGGCTCCTGGGGAGATGGAAGCAGGAACATGGTGGACCAGGGAAGAGGATGCTCGTGTATGGAGATCAGAGTCGGAAGAGGGTGAGCAGGGCTGAGGCTGCTGTGTACTGTCTGTGCCCCCCCAGATTCACATGCTGAAGCCTATTTCTCCATGTGGCCATGTTTGGAGGCTGTCTTAGGGTTTCTGTTGCTGCGAAGAGACACCATGACCATAAAGGAAAACATTTAATTGGGGCTGGCTTATAGTTCAGAGGTTTAGACCATTATCGTCATGGTGGGTGGCATGCAGGCAGACATGGTGCTGGAGAAGGAGCTGAGAGTTCAACATCTCGATCCGCAGGCAGTAGAAGGAGACTGTGTGTCACACTGGGCGTACATGGAGCATCTGAGACCTCAAAGCCCACCCTCACAATGACACACTTCCTCCCAGAAGGCCACACCTACTCCAACAAGGCTACACCTCCTAATAGTGCCACTCCCTATGGGCCAAGTATTCAAACACACCAGTTTATGCGTGTTTACCTATTCAAACCACCACAGAGGGCTTTTGAGAGGTAATGTGCTTGTGGATGGGCTCGGTGCTTTGAGAAGTAATGAATTAGTCCACGAGAGTCCCACCCTTTCTGCCACAGAAGGCACAGCATAGAGGGTAAGAAAACATGTTTGTATAATAAGAAGAATGTTTTTAGCAGGAACTGAGTTGACCAACACTTTGACCCCAGACTTCCAGAACTGCCTGATGTTTAAGATGCCACACGAGATATTTGTTCAGGAAGTCAAAGTTATTAAAACAAGACTAGGCAATTTGGGGCCCGATGATGGCTGTCTTTATAATGTGATACACGGAATTCTGTTATGGTTCCCTGGGATTTTGTGCTCTGATCTCTGGGACAGAAACCAGTGAGATAGCACAGCTGTGGCTGTGCCATGTTGCATGACAAAACAGATTTTGCAGATGTAATTAAAGTTCAGGATCAGTTGACTTTAAGTTCATCATAGGGGCATGACTTGGATGAGTCCAGACTGGGAGTCCTTTGAAAGCCGAGATTGCTCTGGACTGCACAGAGGTTCCAGAATGGGGAAAGAGCCATTTCACAAGCTGATGGTGGGTGTGCATTGGGAATGGGAGGCCTCAGCTAACAGCCAGGAAGGAGATGGGGCCTCAGTCCTGCAGAGCCAAGACTGTTAGCAACACAGGGTTGGAGTGGTTTACCCAGTACCTCCTGGGATAGCCTAAGATACACACAGCCTTTCTCTGATGAGTGTGGCAGGCTTTCTGCCTTCAGGACTGTGAGGTAGCAAGCAGGTGTTTAATGCTAACTCTAAGGCAATTAGTTGCAGGATGTAGTGGTTAGTTTTTAATGTCAACTTTATATAAGCTAGAGTCATTTGAGAAGAGCGGATTTCAACTGAGGAATTAATTAAGTCTAATGGCCTGTGAGCATGCTTTTGGGGGCATTTTCTTGATTAATTATTGATGTGGGAAGAACAATCGACTATAGGTGGACTGTCCTTGGACACCTTGGTTGTATAAGAAAACAAGCTGAGCAAGCCATAAAAGTGCTTACTAGCAGTAAGCACCATCCCTCCTGGGCCTCTGTTTCTGTTCCTGCCTCCAGGTTCCTGCCCTGACTTCCCATGTGATGGAGTGTGTTGCTGGAGGGCTTCTCTCCAGGTTCCACCAAGCCCTGCAGTCCTACAATCCACGTATAAAATAATCACTCAGACGCTTATATTACTTATAAACTGTATGGCCATGGCAGGCTTCTTGCTAACTGTTCTTATATCTTAAATTAACCCATTTTTTATAAATCTATACCTTGCCATGTGGCTGGTGGCTTACCGGCGTCTTTACATGTTGCTTGTCCTGGCAGTGGCTGCAGTGTCTCTCCCCTTCTTCCTGTTTCCCCAATTCTCCTCTCTCCTTGTCCAGCCTACACTTCCTGTCTGGTCACTGGCCATCAGTGTTTTATTTACATAGAGCGATATCCACAGCAGGAGTGGGACCTGAGAGTTGTAAGTTGAAGTAAACCCTTTCCTCCCAGGTTGCCTTTGGTCGATGTTTTATCACAGCAGTAGAGAGCAAACTAGAGTAGAAGTTGGTGCCAGAAAGTGGGCTGTTGATGTGACACAGCTGAATGTATTTGGGAGGATTATGAAAATGTTCGGAACTCTGGGCTAACAAAACCGTTGAGTACTCAGAGCTTAACTTGATCCTCTGTGGGGGTTTGTAAGGTTAAGATCACTGAGATCCATGCAGGCAATGGAGGCCTGATTTGAGAAGGTTCAGGAAATGATGAGAGTGTAGCTAGAGTTTTCCTGCCTTGCCCACAGTCAGGACAAATCTTTGTCACCCGCCAGTCCCACAGCCGCTCAGACCCAACGAAGTAAACACAGAGACTTATATTGCTTACAAATTGTATGGCCGTGGCAGGCTTCTTGCTAACTGTTCTGACAGCTTAAATTAATCCATTTCCATAAATCTATACCTTGCCATGTGGCTAGTGGCTTACCGGCGTCTTCACATGCTGCTGGTCATGGCGGTTGGCAGTGTCTCTCTCCTCAGGCTTCTGCTTCCCAGAATTCTCCTCTCTCCTTGTCCCACCTACTTCCTGCCTGGCCACTGGCCAACCAGTGTT